CAGACAACCTCTCGTCAATATGCGTTTTTCGCATTGCATTGCTGCAAAAAACGCATAAAAAGTCGATATAGATGCTGATACAGACACTCAGAGGCATTCATATACGGACAACCTCTCGACAATATGTGTTTTTGCACTGCATAGATGCAAAAAGCGTATAAAAAAGAGATCTTCTATGAACCGATAAAAAAAATTGACTGGAGGTTGAACTGTTTTGCGGACTGTACATCAAACTGCCCATTATTTTGACCGAGCTTTCCGTCGCCACACACTCTGGACACTCTGGACAAAAAAAAAAAAAAACTAGCTGAGGACTCTCTCCAAGCATAGGTGGTTTAATAATTTTTTGTAGGTTTGGTGCTATTCTCTGCACTTCCCTGAAAAAGTCAGAAAGTTCTTTTCATTGTTTAATTAGAAATTTTAGGACAGAGCTCGTTATATCGAATATTGACTAGGACTTTTTCTCTCCCGAAACACTGCAAAGAATTGCTATGACAGCTAATTATCATTCTACAGTTGTGCTTACCGAAACAACATCATCTTATGAGCAGCTTGGCAGTGAACATGCCCTTGGTTCCTCTAATTTCTTTCGCTGTTCAAAGCAAAACTGATTTCTCAACAATTACTAAGGAGCTTTGATGCTTTTAGTTTCATATAGCCGTTGTTCCGTTGTCGCATTTTTGTTCCCTTTTCGTACTGATGCAACTGGCAGCTTTCCATTTTCCCCATTTTGAGCCTCACTCAAACATATAATTCAGTAAAGAATCCGTCTAATGATAGGAATATTGTTTCATGGGTACCATTCGCTAATGCATGATTTTCATAGTTATCACCAAAGTGAACAGCATGTTCTGCCCTTCGTGTTTTATCATTTCACGTAGTAGCAGAGACAAAATAAGACTTATTGAGGTACACCATTTGTCCTTTAAAGAATATCTGTTCAATTTAGCATAGCAGCTAATAAACGAATTATCGTAGCTGCAGATTATTGGTCTGGAAGGTATCCCAGTGTATACGCATTTTCTCCTGAGCGATCAACACTGGCATTTCGGGTGGTTTTTATGTGATTTATGGTTAATGATTGATTATGTTGTGTGCCTCGCCTCTATCTACACCGTCCTTGGTATTACTATCGACAGGTTGGTCTCCTAGACTTTCAAAATGAACTAAAAGTCTGCTTTCATCTACCAGTTTTAAATACCTTTCTTTTTTGTTAATTTTTGATTACGTGGGTGTGATGCAAAAGCGCAAAAAGGCACCCCAACTCTGGAAATAGAAAAGTTAGAAAGCGGATTCTCGTGTGCAAACTTTCCGACTGTGCCGGGGGTTTCGAAGCCAATACGAAGTTTTACTGCATGCGCCCTGACCTTCTGCGCTGCATTGACAATGAGGCGAATGTTTCACTTTAATATATGCTCAGCTGCAGTTCACAGCACAATTCTGCGACATACATCTGACAATTATTCACATTGCTTTGGCCGATGCTGTTTCGCCTGCATTTGTTTCATTTTCTGATATGATTCCAAGCAAATACTGTTACACCAAAATGAGCAAACTCTATAAGTGAAAAAATAATCCAAGAAAAATGAAAAAAAAATTCCATTCCGCAAGCTGACTGAGCTGGAGAGAAGTATGCTGCCAATTTCCATGCAGCTGATATCTTTCAGGTATTGCTCAGTAAAGTATCCGGCTGCTTATAGGAATTGGAGAACTCCGAAGAGGGTTATTTTAACGGTAGCTATTATATGGCTGGTAAGTTTATTTTACTTACAAATTTGCCAGCAAAGAAAATCTTTTACTTTCTAGAAATGAATGGGCTTCCAGCTTTTTTGATTCCAGAAGAAAACTTGCCAATCTTTACCACTGAAGAAAAACAGTAGAAATCTTCGACTGACTTGAGGGAAACTCTATATCTTTCAGGATTTTACACAGTACGCTTAACCCGTCTGCTGCCACAGGCCTTGCAGTGCCCATAATTGCCGAATAGCATTGCTCAAAAATATTAATTTTAAATCATGCCAGTACTGCGCTCTGTTCGGAATCTGTGCTTATAAATCTTATGAATCGAATTCAACGTGAAAAGTCCAATATTTTCCATATGCACTCTCGTGGAGAAGCGAAAGCACTCCAGGAGCAGCCCGAGTAGTAGCGAGTGCCAACGGCAACTACCTCCTGGCATGATTGTCCATCGATCCCTCATTCGGAATTCGCTTAGAAGCAAACTTAGGTTTAGTTCTAACAAGCAATTAAGAAGTTTTAATTATCTCTTTCGCATTTCAGCGTCAGGTGGGAGGATCTCAGTTTACGCTAAAAAGTTTTGCTTTTTTTTTTTGCTTTTATATTAAGGGTGAGCCTTTCCACAAGGCAGCATTGCTGTAGAAATCCGAACGAAAGTGCTTATCCATACCAAAGTTCAAGGGCAAATTTAGATCCAGTGTAAAAACAATTTTTTCAGGAAAGTTCACTTCGGCTTTTTTTGACCAAATGCATCTTTTGCAAAACCACTTCCTGATTAAGGCGACTAAACGGCTAGCCGTCTTTTCATATTGTTACTTCGATGAAAGGGCAAACAAAAAATGAGCAGTAAAAAACATCATGAAAGTATTCAATAAACTGCAATAATTATGGGGTGTCTCAGCATGACCACAAAAGATAATACAGTGTTCATTTATTTGTTTGAATAAGTTGTGTTTGGGAGCACGCTAAATGATAAGAAGCGTTGCTTTCACGTTGAAGATCGAGGGCTCCAGTGGTGCTTTTAGGACAACTAGTCTCTTTACGATTCTTTCTTTCTTTCCACTGCGAACTGGTACTAGCTTATGCTAGGGAATCAAAACTGTCATCAGCTTGTTTGTAAACAGTACTTAGAAGAGGGACCTGTCGATAACCTACACAGCGGATGACAGCTGTTAGCATGTGTTACCTCTGCTTTAAATAGTACTTTCAGGAGAAAAGGATATGCGCGAATAATAATGCGAGCGCTAAATTTTAGTTATGGGCAAGTTTCTATTCCTCTCACAGCAGGTGGGTTCGGTTGGGGGCAGGCACACCCTTCCGTATTTTTCAGGAAGTGTGTTGGAATGTTTTCTTTTTTTTCTTTTTTTGAAATGGGTTAGTGTGCAGGCGTACCGGGACAGTCCTGATGCAAATAAAGAAAAACTTCTGAAAGAAAGGTCCTGAACGGAGTAGACCTGATTTGTTTAAAGAGAAAACCCCATGAGAAAAGAAATGATATTCTGCAGATTCCTACAATATTATTTGGTTTGTCCATATTTGGCTATGATAAATTTACGGGCGAACGAATCCTAAAAGACGAGGAGTGTTATGTGCAGTTCATGGCCAATCCAATCCTCAATATGGGCATGTATATTTCCTATTACTGGTCCACACTGTTCGTGATGTTGTATCTCTACTGGGGCATCTATCGCGCTGCGAAATTGCTCGCTGCAAAAAGTGAACAGGTATCCATTTGGTTTCCAAGGGCTGCTGCGTATTCTCCGTTTTCAGAAAAAGGGTGAAACGTTTTTCCTTTTTCATATTTAAAGATAATTTCTCGTTCTTTAGCATGCTTTTTTCTTGATTTAACACATAAGTTGTTGAGATTTCTTCTTAACTATATTTGGGGTGTTATTTCTGCGCTGCTAGCCACGGCTCATTAGTGAACTGTGTTGCTCTTTCGCACATTTACAAATTTGGAAAATACGTATCTTAAGCATTTATTAGTTTATCTTCCCATACGACGAGAAATAGCTGAAGGTATGTGATCTAGGATCGGAGGACCTGACACACTGCTCCCGACATACGAAAACATCCTTGTAAAGTCAAAAACATGGGATTCTCTTACTGATATCCTTGCAGTTTTAGTATTTTTGTTATACGATTTCTCCATAGCCCAAATTTGAGGAATAATTTTCCGCAGCGCCGGGCTGCAGTTCTGAATTTAAATTCACGCTATCATGCGTCCCGAGCTTTGACTTTGTACCGAAGTTTGGAATAATTTTATAAGTTAGTAGAATCTTTGCACTAAGTAAAAGAAAAGCAAAATTGTCAGCACAATGACTATCAGGCAATGTAGTGCTGGTTAAATTAATTGAAAAATTTGTCAGTTGCATATTTGGAAAATCGTTGGCGACGCGCTGAGCGGGCTCATACGATCATGCGTTTTTGCAATATTTCGTGCTGTAATGAGGTCGCTCGGAAGCCCAGTAGCTAGAAATACGTGTTATACTGGTCCTTGAAGGAGTCCGCGAAGTTAATTGTCCACGCGGCATTTGGACAGGGAAAATTTCGTTGGAATTTCAGCTTTCCAAATTTTCTGGTTCTTGATTATGCAATTTTTCTGCCAAAAATCTTCACGGGGCCGTACTTGACAAACACGCAAGCCCGGAAGCTGGGTTTGACAAAATTTAAATCGTACGTGGGCTGGGAACTTTTCTTGAAAGTTTCAGCTGCCCGGCTTTCCTGGTTCCCAAGTTAGCCGTTATTCCACCGAAAATTTTCGCTAGGCCGTACGTGAGTACCAGATATACTGAGCGGCTGAATCTGATAAAATTAAACTGCATATGTGCTAAGAACATTCTTTGGAAATTTCCGCTCCCTAGCTCTCCTAGTTCATGAGTTAGCGATTTTCGAGCCAGGGACCCTCACGAGGCCGTACGAGAGAGTCAAGTATATCTGGAGGCTGAATTTGAAACCTTTGAGTTCTATTTGGACGGGGACATGACCTCAAAATTTTAGCTTTCTAGCTTTTTTGGTTCCCGAGTTAGCGAATTTCCCGCCAAAACCTTCGCCCTTCGTACGCGGGGCCTATACTTGCGTAAAGATTGGTACCGCGGTCCTGGGATGGCATTTGGCTAGAGAAATCACCGGTAAAATTTTGGCACCAGAGTATGCTTGGGTGCTGAGTTGAAATATCCAGACAGACAATACGTCGTTACAATATGCGTTTTTGCATTTGCATATAAGCAAAAACGCATAATCAGATAACAGTCAGGCAAATGACCAAAGTGAATGAGAATTTCAGAGGTCTAAAAACAGAAAGTCATAAAACCGTTTCCAAAATCACAAAGGAGAAAATTAAAAAATCCTGGAATTTGACCCATATTTTCTGGTTTAGAAAAATAAACGAGTAGCGATGCTAAGCGAAATGAAAAAGCAAGTAAAACAAGAAACGCCATCGGTGGCAACTGGAAAAAGCAGCGAACAGGAAAGTCCACCTGATACTTCATCTTCATCCCAATCCAGGTTCAACGAATTTTGCACCTTTTTACTTATGCTCACTCAAACTAATGTTAAATGTCAGTATTTTATTCGTGACAAAAAAGTTGGGGTGTTAAAAAATCAGCAAGAATCTCAGCAGTTTCTTGGTTTTGATCTGTTTTTGCCGAGTAGCGCTAAAGCGCCGCAACAAACATCAAAAACACATGCTGCTACGACCCTGCGTGTGTGTGTTCGTTTGACCGAGTCTTTTTGCTCAGCAACTATGCAAGCTTTAGAGCTGAAATTTTGAAAATGTTCCCTGGCCAATTGCAACTGCAGAAGCGTGCTGTCAAATGTCACGCACCTCTGCGTCCTACGTACGGATGCGTGGAAGTGTTGGCGGAAAATGAGGACGAGGGAAGCTAGAAAGCTGAAACGTTTTGGTGATTTTCTATACCCATGTGCGACAAAAAGGCTTCAGATTCAGCTCCTTAGAGATGTCCATATCTCTTGTACGAGTACGTGGAGTTTGGAGAGGAAAATTGCTAACTTGGGAACGAGAGAAGTTGGAAGGTTGGGATCTTAAGGGGATATTTCTTACTCATGTGCAACTAAAAGGATTCTAATTCAGCTCTTCTAGTGGGGTCTTTTTCACGAACCAACAGCTTTCCGTTTGTCGAGATGCTGAAACCGATATTTACAACCCACACACCACAAAACTGTACATTTAACTACCTGAATTTCGAAGGCCAGTATATTACAAATTTCAGCTGCTGCGTTTCCTTGCCATCTTGCTCAGCAGGAAATAGTGCAAAAATGCATGATCGCACCGGTAAGCTTGGTGCGTTCGAGCCTGAGTTTTCATAATTCATCACAAACGACCCCCAATTTTTGACAAAATCGCTTGTCTTTTTTTACAATTCGTCGTGAGCGAAGTCAGTAGAATTAATCTTGAATTAATCTTGAATTTAAAGCATTTACGGTTCAGTTTTGCTCGGTTAGCGGCAAATTCAATTACATCTAAAATCGTAAGAAAAATTATTTTAGTATTCTTTGGTGGATGAACCGAGAATAATCTGCTTTCCCCTGAGTAACTTCAGTACCGCTGATTTCTTCCAATCCTAGCTGCTCGCTCTTTCGTTCTTCGTCTTCTCATTTTTACGCGTTTTTTGCAGCAATGCAATGCGAAAAACGCATATTGACGAGAGGTTGTCTGTGT